CCTGTCACTCACCTCTGGGGTTGACAGACAGATATTTGAAACAGTCCAAGGACTTCCCAGGTAGGGCAGTGGTAAAGAATCAGCCTGCTAATGCAGGAGACACAAGAAACTGGGGTTCAATCCCTGAGTCAGGAAGATCCCCTGGAGAAGGAAATGGCACTTCACTCCAGTATTCTTGCCTGGAAAATTCCATGGAGCCTGGCAGGCTACAGTCCATGGGGTCATAACGAGTCAGACATGACTTAGCGCGTGCGCGCACACACACACACACAGACTCAGACATGTGGAGGAAACAGATGGGAAACAAGTGAAGCATTGAAGGGTTGACAAATTCCAGTTCTTTGATTTTTGTCTTCCTGGGAGTGGTTGGGATAGAGAAATGTAGAGGAATAATGGGCTTATGAGTAGGGGAAAGTTTGCAGTTTTTCACATTCTTCTTTGGATATTGACTAAAGGAAGAATGTGGGCTGGAGGTGTTCATTTTTTGTTTTGTACTCTGACCTTTTTCTCAGCCACTGCACACTTTCACATATAGGGGCCTCTAATGGTTAACTCTGCCATTATACATCAATTCACTCAACAAATGCACATTCAGTTCAGTTCAGTCACTCAGTCATGTCCGACTCTTTGCAACCCCATGGACTGCAGCACACCAGGCTTCCCTGTCCATGGCTGACTCCCAGAGCTTACTCAAACTCATGTCCATGAAGTCGGTGATGCCATCCAACCATCTCATTCTCTGTTGTCCCCTTCTCCTCCCGCCTTCAATATTTGTCAGCATCAGGCATATTAGTACCTACTAAATTAGGCTTGAAAGGAACTTCCTGCTAAAATAACCAAGAAAATGAAATTCCACTAGAGAAGTGCTCTATGCCTTTCCCCAGATCTAGATTTCCCATAGTTGGCACGTCTGAGGGTTGGACTAGTTGAGCAAATTAACACAGGCCTGGAGATGAAATCAGAGATTTGGACAGGTAAGGATTCACACAATAAATAAACAACCCTATGGGCAATAGACAAGACTTACATGCAATATTTTGCAAGGAATTTTTTAAAACCCAGCTCATTAATTTTTAAAATCACTTATTTATTTTTATTTGTGACCACACTGAGTCTTCTTTGCTGCACATGGGCTTTCTCTAGTTGAGTTGCGTGGGCTTCTCATCGTGGTGGCTTCCCTTGCTGTGATGCACAGGCTTCAGGGCGTGCGGGCTTCAGTAGCTGCAGCTCTTGGGCTCTAGAGCTCGGGCTAGGTAGTTGTGGCACATGGGCTTAGTTGCTCCGTGGTATGTGGGATTCTTCCTGGGCCAGGGATCAAATCCATGTCTCCTGCATTGGCAGGCAGATTCTTATCCACTGCACCACCAGGGAAGTCCCATTTTTTCTTTATTCATCAGGCATTTATTGAACACCTACTGCATGCCAGGCACTTCCCAGGCACTGAGGATAAAGAGATGAATTGGGTGCAGCCCCTGCCTCCTCGTTGCTCCCTGGGGACAGAGGAGCAGGTGTGCACTATTGCCCCCTGCATGGTTGATGAAGAGATATGAGAGGTACCAGAAGCCAGCTCACGGCCTTCTAGAATGCTGGGACTTCTGCCGCAGAGAAGTCCCACTCTGTTCCCCTGTCCTTTTAAACACAGTGAAAATTCCTGGGATAGCTGCTGTTACCTCTTTATTTAAGACAGCTTCACATGTCTCCAGACCACTATCACTTCCTTGTGAAATAGAGCTTTCTTCCCCAAAGTCTGGCAAATCAAGCCTGTTATTGGGGAAGTAAGTCTATAACCAGGAAGGTCAAGAATGCATCCATTTAGTGCCTCTGAACCCTCAAGCCCAGTCCAGAGAAATCTGATGCACATGCTCCAAGATAAACATCTCTTGAGGAGTCACCTCGTCAGTGTTTCAATATTTATTTAATAACCTTGCTATATTCATGACATTGTAGGGTAAATGCTGTATCCCCACACTTGGAAACTTTCAGTAGACGTGGGGATATGAATCAATGTATTAAAATAGCACTTTTAAAAAATCACACATTTAAATGGTACACTAGACATGGGGCATAATGCATAAGAGGGCAAAGATGTCCTGGGAAAGGTAAACAGAAAGAGTTTACCAGGGAAGATTTCTAAGAAGAGGTGTGCTTAGAACTGGATCTGAAAAGACCACAGTGTGTGTGGAGGCAGGCTGGCAGCTGACCTCCTCTGAGATTCCATTTCCTCATCCAGAGAATGGATATAACACACACAGCTTGTAGGAGCTGTGGAAGGATGAAATTCAGTGGCAGTTTCCTGTGATGGTGCCCGGGCATTTAGGAGGCACCAATGAATATCAGATTCCCTTCCTTGTTTTATTTTATGCCACTCACATTTGTTGATATTTAATAATAAATATGAACAGCTCATGGAAATGAAGAATAGTGACTTCTCACATTTTCCATCTGGAGCAGGAATTACTTTCTAAAACAGCAGAATAATGTAGTAAAATATTACAGATTTAAAGGAAAATGCATGGACGCAGCCTAGATGTTCACTGACAGATGAATGGGAAAAGAAGGTGTGGTACATATATACAACGGAATATTACTCAGTGGTCAGTCAGTTCAATTCAATCGCTCAGTCGTGTCCGACTCTTTGCGACCCCATGAATCACAGCACTCCATGCCTCCCTGTCCATCACCAACTCCTGGCGTTTACCCAAACTCATGTCCGTCAAGTCGGTGATGCCATCCAGCCATGTCATCCTCCGTCGTCCTCTTCTCCTCCTTCCCCCAACCCCTCCCAGCATCAGCGGTAAAAAGGAACAAATTTGAATTAGTTGAACTGAGGTGAACGAACCTAGAGCCTGTTATACAGAATGAAGTAATTCGGAAAGAGGATAACAAAAATGGAATCTAGAAAAATGATACTGATGAACCTATTTTCAGGGCAGGAATAGAGACACAGACATAGAGAATGGACTTGTGGACACAACGGGAGAAGGAGGGGATGGGACGAATTGAGTAGCATTGACATATATAGACTACCGTGTGTAAAGCATAATAGATATCTGGTGGGAACCTGCCGTATAACACAGGATGCTCAGCTTGGTGCTGTGATGACCTAGAGAGGTGGGATGGGGAAGTGGTGAGAGGGAGGATCGGAGGGATGGGGTATATGTATACTTATGGCTGATTCACATTGTCGTACTGTGGAAACCAGTGCAACATTATGAGCAATTACCCTCCAACTACAAATTTTAAACAAAATAAGATAAACGAGGCCCCAGAAAGCTCCCTGACCCTTCAGCATGTGAGGATACAAGGAGACGTTGGCAGTCTGCAACCTGAAAAAAGGCCTTCACTAGAATCCTACCATGCTGGCACCCTGACCTCAAACTTCCAGCCTCCAGATCATAAGGATAAATTTCTGGTGTTTATAAGCCAAAAACAAATAAATAAATGAAAATGCACAAAAAGTAATCATAAATCTATGTTAATAGGCACATTATATAATGGTTTAACATAACTATGAATTTATGTATTTATACATATAATATTTATATTATATATATTTATATTTATTACATATATACATATTTGTATATACAAATATGTAAATATACATATAATACAACCCCATTGTATGTACCTATAACATATATACAGTTAACACATATTAATATTTATACATCATATAAATAAATATATAAACACATTATATAAAGATTTAATTGGTGAGAAGTAGCATCAAGGGGACAGAGATAGAAAGGAATAATGTTTTATTTGGCCTGTCCAAGTCTGAAGGAAGCAGTGGGTTGGTGGAGCTCACATCACAGCAGAATCTCAAATGAGTGATTTCCAGTCACCCAGAAATGTTGTCTTAATCCCACGCTAAGCACCCTTCAGTTGCTAGTTAGACCCACTTAGACGGACGTAGATGCCAGACACGCAGCGCTGCACCAGCCAGTCACTTGCCTGAGGCGTGGTAAGGACTCTCCAAGGTATGAGAATGGTTGTTCTCACCAAGCGCGGCCATCATGGAGCCCCGCCACAGTCACTCCCTCAATTCAGAGAGTCTTTGTATCACGGGCTGGAGACCTGGAGCAGAGGAGGCCTTGCCTGGGGTGTCTCCCTAGCATGCAGTCATGGGCTTGCCCTGTCCAAAAACACCGCCTATCCTCAGGCTCAGAGAGGAAAAGTCAGCCTGCTGTTCCAGGGCTCTGTGAGAAAAAACACGCTAAGCCCTCAGGTTTATTCTGCAGCCTGCACTGGGCCACGCTCTCAATAGCCAGTAAAATACTTGGCTAAGAAGTGTTCTTCATGTAGACCTAAACCTACTGCTGCAAGTTGTTATCACTGTGAGGCGAATCGGCTTCCAGAGAATCTCCACACATCCCAGCTCTTAATTCCTCTGAGAAAAACCGGGGCCTGAGGAAGCCACACGGCGGCTCTGAGTTCCAACTCTGGTTCCGAGGTTTAGGTATTGGTATGTGTTGAATCATGTCCCTGGAGAGATATATTGAAGTCCTAACCCCATTAGTCCCTCAGAATGTGACCTTGTTTGGAAACCAGACCTTTACAGAGCTAATTGAATTAAACTGAGGTCATCAGGGTGGGCCCTAATCCAGTGTGACTGGTGTCCTTATAAAAAGGGGACATTTGGACAGAAAGGGGCATGCACAGAGCGACAATGATATGAAGACCGTCGTCTACCAGTCACGGGACACTCACGTCTCCAGAGCGAGGAACAGGCCGAAATGTCTCCTTCCGAGGGAGGGAGGCCCTGTGGACACCTTGATTTTGGTCTTCCGGCCTCCAGAACATGAGACAGTGGATTTTTACTGTCTTAAGCCTTCCAACTGGTGGTACTTTATGACATAAATATGTGTATGTGCTTAGTCGCTCAGTCGTCTCTGACTCTTTGCGACCCCATGGACTGCAGCTCGCCAGGCTCCCCTGTCCATGGCGATTCTCCAGGCAAGGATACTGGAGTGGGTTGCCATGCCCTCCTCCAGGGGATCTTCCCAACCCAGGGACTGAACCTGGGTCTCATGTATGGCAGTGGACTCTTTACCGACTGAGAAGCCCAAATATGTGTACAGTAGAATATTTTCTCACTAAAAGAGGCTAGAATTATTGGGAAGACCATTTCAGTCAGAACATCTAGGTTCTACCAAGGCAATTATGGGGTTGCAAAAATTTCAGAAAGGGGAAAGGAACCAGAGACACAGCGTGTTGGCAGCCGGTGCTGTTGGGCTGAAGGTGGCCGTGGGCACCGTTCAGAAGACAGAACTCTTTCTTCGGCCTCCTTGGCATGTCCAGTGTCTGTGTTAACAGGTAAATCTCAATTGTGTAGGACATTCTGTTCCATAACATTTTCACTTGTCAGCAACTTAACTCATCCTCAGGTCTGGAGAGAGGCCCCTTGACCTTCCTGGGACACTGACCACGCTGTCAGGGATGAGTGGTCAAGAGAGACCTTTCTCTGTCCTGCGCTGGCTCCTGTCAGACTCGGCCATTTCTCGCCCAGCCCTGTTTAACGGCGCTGTGGGAAAAGGCAAAGGGTGATGATTTCTGAGTTACCTTCCTGGAACCAGGAGGAGCACCTAGAAAAAAAAAAAAAAAAAGACAGGAAAAGTGAATTCCAGTGAAGTCGCTGCATGTCGGGGGCTGTGCTGGCTGAAATGACAAGCCATTATCTGAGCAGGGGTGAGCAGCGTGAGTCACCACAGGCAGGTAAGCTGGCTGACGGTTCTTATTTGGAATTCTAGCCACACCTTTGCAACTGCAGTCCTGTGAAGTCGAGAGTCTGTTGAGAGTCAAGACAAATCTGCAAAAAAACCAGACTCTTCAAAGAATACGATATCTTTATAAACAATCACTATACCACCTATGGGGGGAGGGGAATCCTCACCTTGTGGGCCAAGTCGCTTCAGTCGTGTTGGACTCTTTGAGACCTCATGGACTTTAGCCTGCCGGGCTCCTCTGTCCATGGGATTCTTTAGGCAAGAATACTGGAGTGGGTTGCCATGCCCTCCTCCAGGGGATCTTCCTGATCTAGGGATCGAACCTGTGTCTCTTTTGTCTCCTACACTGGTAGGTGGGTTCTTTACCACTAGTGCCACCTAGGAAGCCTTAAAATTACTTTTAATGATAAGAATAATGTCAAATCACACTAGAGCAAATAAAAACATTAAAACAAAATAGCAAAATCACCCATAATTTCGTGACACTGACACAACTTCTCAAATCTCAAAAAATAAGGGAATTGTTAAGTAAAATATAGTATATCCATAGGGTTGAATGTTATGCATCTAAATGAAAATTATAACAAAATTTACCTGAATATTTAGCAAAACTGTTTAGCTAAGGGAATCGTAATATTAAATTCTGTGTGTAGTACGATCTGGAAAAGGAATGCTCAGAAGGAAATACACCAAAATATCGTGGGTCAGTTTTACTTCCTTCTTATTTTTCTACCATCTAATTATTTACTTGTTAATTCAGCTGAAATTTTTTCAAGAATGCCATGACCCTCCTCTAGCTTTTTAAAAAGTTGTCAACAGATAACCAAAGGATGTTAATATGAGAAGAGGTTTTTGGAAATCAACTATTTAGAGATGGAAACTGAAACCAAAACTGCTTATATCAGTTCACATAGCCAGTGGCAGGACTGGGACAGCAGGATTTCTAGAGTATCTATCTCAGAGCGTTATCCTCAGTGTTAGGTATTCAACATGGCCCTGTATCCAAGTTAATGTGAACAAGAGTATGTTGAACAGAGATTTAGAAATTGATATGAAAGACATATACATGACATTGACACCTACTGCCTGCACCATTAATTCAATTTCTATTTTATTTTTTCCCGTCCTCTGGAATCTATCCTCAGGTACCAAGTTAATGCTTATTCCTGGCCCTGTGAACTGTTCAATCATCACCCCAGCAGTAGCTTTCTTGATCATAGATGATTGTCTACTATGAGTTCTCATAGGGTTGACCCAAACACCCATGAGAGTCCCTGAGACACATTTAGAGGACCCATAGGGTCAAAATGATTTTCATAATAAGAAGACATTGTTTGCTTTTGCACTCTTATTCTCTCATCAATTTCCAGTGTTGTTTGCCAGAGGCTGCTGAATAATGTGCAAATTGAAATGGGCTGAATACAGGAGAAGGTATGAGACCCCAGCTGTCTTCTGTGAAGCCAGGTAGAAAAGAGATTTACCCAAAGTAGAACAATGCCACTCTTCTCACTACTTTTTTTTTTAAGAAAATATAGCTATTTTCATAAGATGTATTAATTTGAAATGTTGTTGTATGTTATTGAACAGGGTTTGCTATTTCATTTCTAATGTCATATCAATCGACATAGCCCCCACATCAACAAAAGCTTCCCTTTGAAGCGTGTCAAGGAGTCCTGAAACCACTTAAAAAAGCGGAGAAGTGCTACTCTGCTCTCCCCCGAGGGACCCAGGTGTCACGTAGCCATGTTCCCCGACTCTTGCTGCTGCTGCAGAACTTAGAGCCCTCGAGCATCTGATGCCTGGCAGAACAGACGGTGTGGAAGGAACTTTCTGGATCGTGAGGCTGGGGCCTCTGGCAGAAGATCCCACTGTGACTTCCTTCTGGGTCTCAGGTAGCAGGATGTTGGGGGGACATTCAGGGAAGGAGAGAGGGCTCCATTAGAATGGGCTCTGGTTCCCTGGCAGATGGGGGTTTGAGGGAAGAAAAAACGGAGAAGGAAGAAAGAATTAAGAGAAGAACGCTAGAGAGTAGTGAGCTGCCCTGCGCGCTTCACTCTGCTTTCAGACCTAAAATATCCTCAGTCAACCATAACCCGTTTATCTTTAGTACCGATATCTGATGCAATAGAATTTAAAAGAAGACTTCACAGCCCACGGAAAAATCTCTCCAGAGCATGAAATTCTTTTAATTTAGGACAGAGTATGCCATTAGACTCTTATAGATAAAAGGTCCGAATGCAAATTCTTATGGACCGTTTATGCACTGGCTGAGGGAAAAGATGCATAAGCTTGGTTGTGCATTAGAATCACCCAGGTGGCTTGGAAAAATCCACATGCCAGGGCCCCAGGGGCAGAGCCGGGCGTCAGGATACCTTAATCTCTCCAGAAGATTCCAAGGTGCAGCCAAGTTTGAGGACCATGGAACTAGGGAGGTAGAAATCAAGAACACAGTCAAGTGACACTTGGAAATGGATGGGGATGTTCGTGCCCAAAGGAAAGCGGGGGATGTGAAGGGGAGCCCGGAGAAACAGTATCTCCTTCACACCCTAGCTCCAGGGCTGAGTGGGGCTTCCTCCCTGGTACCTCCTGTTTGGAGAGGCTGGAGGTTTGTCCACATTCTTTCTCCTTCCAGCTGGGCCTTTACCCAGCCGGTCTCCAGAAGGCTCAGCCCTTGGACAGGGAAAGGAGAGAGAACTTGGCAATTTTCTCTCCAGCTCTTCAAATCAACAATTTTGGTCACAGATCAGGCTGCTGAATCTTTTCACATCTGAAACTCAGACTTTGACGTGCTTGTTTTTCTCCCCCGGTCTGACTCACAGGGTGAGTCATAGCGAACCTTGTTAATCTCCACTGGACCAGGGGAAGCAAGGGCAGAGGGGGCGGGCTTCCTCTCCCCGCGAGGCTGAGGCTGAATTCTGAGCTAGCCGCTCAGCTCCCATCCCAGCTCTGCCCCCGCCTCCAAGATTATTCTTGGAGTCCTGCCTCCGTTTCTGGCAAAAGTGATGGTCAGGGATCAGTAAGCCCAAGGCTCCAGGGATCTGTGGTTGGGGTACCCACCGATTTCTCCCTGGCTGCTCTGTTCTCTGAGATACCTGAAAAAAACCATAACACTGCAAACTCTCAGGCTGAAGGAAGCTTTGGGGTGAAGAGGGTGGTTGATAAGATAAGTGTCTTAGTAGCACAGAATGCCAGGGCAGGAAGACTTCTTGAAATGAAGACAAACACAGCTCTCTCTCTGCTAAGACAGTTATCAGAGACAGGGGGACAGGGCAAACATCTAGGATGTTTATATTTATTCTTGTTTCCTGGAATGTGAGAAGGGAATGTGACATTCTCTCCTTCTGATGCTGCCCACATATTTTCCTGGCCATCAGCGGTTGCCCAGGTTCTGATGACTCTCCTCCATGGACGGATTTAGCCTGGAGTCCAGAGGGGTGAGGTGATGGAGAAGGTGACACCCGCCCCATGTACCGGGGTCTGACAAGAGGGGAGGGGGAGCGATTCACAAACCACCCACCCATTCTTCCCATAACCATCTATTGCGGAAGTGAGACGGGCACAAGGGAAGACTCGGGGTGAAACCAGCTTCCCGTCCCTATGGGAGCTTACAGCTGAGCAGAGGAGCAAAACGCATAGGGCAGTGTGGGGAGAGCACCCGGGGATACCCCAGGAGGGGGTTAGTGCTAACTGTCTCGGGGTGGGGAGGGCTCCTGGGAGACTGAGCTGGTGGGGGGGGGGGGGTGGGGAATCCAGGGGATGGGGAGATTGGAGGAGTCAGTAGTTGCAAATGTCTGTGATGTGGACCCTCCTGACCCGAGAGAGCAGGGCAAGACCTAAAGGAGTGGCCTCATCGCTATAATGGTACGGCGGTCCCCGAGTGATGTGACTCAGACTCTGGAAACTTCATTTTCTCCTGCCCCTGGGGAGGCTCTCACCCACCTGGGCCCCTTGCCTCTGGGCATAGCTGCAGCTGCTTCATCCTGGAGCTGCTCTTCAGCCTGGCTCCCGGGTCCACTCTGGACGCCCCATTCCTGCCTGTTCCATTGAGCGGCTCCAAGGTCTCTTTGCCATTGGATGACGGCTCAGAAAGGCTTTTACTCTTTACGTGGCAAAGAAGGAGTTCCTTGTGTATTTTCTCACTCTCAGTGACTAAGTCGTGTCCGACTCTTTGCAACCCCGTGCACTGTAGCCCACCAGGCTCTTCTGTCCATGGGGCTTCCCAGGCAAGAATACTGGACTGGGTTGCCGTTTCCTTCTCCAGGAGATCTTCCTGACCCAGGGATCGAACTCGCATCTCCTGCCTTGGCACTTGGTATGTGCATTCCCATTTTCCCAAAATGATATCATGAATTATGGCTACATCAATACCTAGGCATTGCATTGTTATGATTTCATGAAACTTCTCAGATGGGCCATTTAGTACTTTACAATTGCCTTTGCTTTCTTGTTCAACTATTAATACGTTGTTCCTAGAGTTAATAATTTTTCATCTTATTCTTTTCTTATCCAGTTTCCTATGTCTGTATCTCAAATTCATCCCCATACCCTGCCAGAAAGTGCAGATCTCCTTTCAAGACATCCAAACATATGCACCATAAGTTTCATTTTTTTCCCTTGGAGACATCCTTCCAGAGCCCCGATCTGCCTACTGGATTTGTTGCTTCTTAAGGATGCTGCCCCATTATTGTCAGTATTATAGTGTGGACATGTTTGGGGGACACTGTTCTGCCTACTGGGGCTTCCCAGGTGTCACTGTGGTAAAAAACATGCCTGCCAGTGCAGGAGACATAAGAGATGTGTGTTCAGTTCTTGGGTTGGGAAGATCCCCTGGCAACGCACTCTAGTATTCTTGCCTGGAG